GTTTTAGTAATTTATACTATTACAATTAAAATTATTACTAATAAAGATATAAGCAAGGCCTCATTTTAAAATCAAAAAAAAATAAATAAATAAATTAGATCTTGTTATAGTTACTTTTGATATAATTATATTCTTGATATAATTATACTATATTTTTAATTTAAACTATTATAAAATATATAAAATTTAATTACAACTTTTTATAATTATCAAATTCTTGTTTTTCAAACCAGTAATTATATTAAGATTTGACTATATTATAAAAAAATAAAAATTTTTAATAAAAAAGCATAATTATAAAACAACTATTTTAGTTAAAATTATATATTTTTGGTAAATCTTTAATTTATTAAAATACAATTCAATAAATAAAATTCTAAATTAAAATAATTTTTTAAAAGCAATTACTAATGATTATGCTTTTATACTGTATATATATATTGTAACTGATTTTAAAATTTAATTGGCTTTATACATTAAGATATAGCAATTATTACTAATTTTAAAATTAAAAGTTTTCAAATTCTAAATATATAGTTTATATTACAATCACAATCAACTTTTATTATAAATACGATCCAATATTAAAATTGTATAATCGCTATTGCATCTTACATGCCTAAATTGACATCAATATATACATTTTTATTTGTGAATATTTGAATGCTGGGAATGATTAGTACAATAATTGATGCATCTATGATTTTTTTTTTGTTGTTTGTAATGTTTATCTTTTCATAGAACGTTTTTTCGAAAGCTGTAATGCCCAATTAGTCGCTCGAGCAAGTTGGCTTTGTACTCTCTTTATGTCAATCAACGCTTTATGCCATGCCCTCATCTCTCGTTCTTCCAACTCTAGATACTTCCTTATTAATAGTCCGAGTTCAATTTGCATTAATTCTAATGTTTCATTTTTAACCTCTTCTTCCTCTGTAGCTTTTGTCCTCAAACTTGCTATATAATTTGCAAGTTCTTTAGAATCTGAATGTAGGTTATTACAAATTTCTATTTCTTCTAAAATTCCATGAAGTTTAATGGAACTTTGACACTCAAAATTATAAATTTCTTCTCGTATTTCTTCGATTTCCATTAGGGTCGTAGCCAATTTTTGATGAAATTTATCACGAGTGTTCATTGCTTGCCGTTGAAGGTTGTTGTATGCAATGACCAATTTTTCGATTTCATTTTTCTTCGGTGGTAGTATTTTAGCGGGAGTGGGCTTGGTCGCCTTAAATGAGGGGGGTTCTTGATATATTGGAATGACATTTTCCGAAATTTCTGATATTTCTGGTATTCTTTTCTTTAATTTATTGTATAATTTTGTGACACCATAGCCACCAACCAGTGCCAAAAATGTTGCCGACATTAAGAAAATGTTAAATTTGAGATTATTTTGTGACATTATTTTTCAAAATAATTTTGTAATTTTGAAGATGTCATGTATCAATATTGAAATTTGGGACCATGAAAGAAGAGAATCACTATTATTTATAATCTAAGGCTAAAAAGAATATATTTTTCTCGGCGCCCGCATGCTTAATGTGTACAGGACTGTATGAATTCAAAATAGCTAGTTTCAAAAAGCTGGTGAAACTTACACAACAATATTTATATTGTTATAACACTATATAAATGCATAATCATTTGATCATGTCGTAAGTCACTAATAAACGGTTTCGAACGGCCATTGTCTTCTATTCTTATAAAAGACATTTTTACAATAATTTTCGGTTTTCTACGTCCAATGTTCTATCGTTTAAGGAGAACTATATGTAATTCAACATTCGACTGTAGTTAACAGGTCTTATTCAGAAGTTTGATGCTTGATTAGTAATAAAATACTTCCAAAAGGACATTTATATTTATATACGTAAACTTTAAGTACGTACTTATTCTATTGTTATGTATGTTCTGATTAAAATATTACGCAAACATTGAATTGTATGTGCTTTCATGAATCAAATCAGAGGTATATAGCAATGTAAAGTGGGTAAGATATACCTCGATTGATTGATTGAGGTAAAAGATTATGAGTTACTGGTCGACATAATGGAATATAGAATCATGAGACGAGTGATTGCGGGGAAGTACCCTCTGTTTCTGTTCGTCTAGTGCTAGTTCTTTGACTCACTCACCTAACCTGTGTTGAACAACATTCACAAACACATGATATCGCAGATAATTAGCACATAATCAACATATAATTAGCATATAATTAGCATAGTAACATGATCTTTTGAGACATCAATCATGATTAATTGTTGGTATTTAAGAGATTCGACACTTTCAAAGTCTGTACGATTTACAGGCTGCATAATGGCAAAATGAGCTGATATTCATGATTCTTATTGTCCGGAGTGAAGCAAGTGATCTCCGTGATGCTGAATGGTTGAACAACTACCCCAACGACACCCTGAATTTTCTGCAATCACGTGAATAGAAATCTATTATCGTTATAATTAATTACGATGCATGATTTTTTTAATGATACGTAATAAATAAATAATTTTTAATTATCAATATCAATATGTATTTTTCCTGAAAAATAAAAAATACGCCGATGTTTTGAATTTTTCAAGCCAGTTTCTTAAAGCTAATTCAAATAATACATATTTTTTATATTCATAATCTTTGATTCATTATTATTT